AGGGGGTTGTTTCCAGGGGCTTTGCGTCGGTGGTGAAAAGCCCCTGCGCTTCTGAGAAACACCTCGCACCCTGCCCGAGGGCTCCTGGCGCGGGGGCAGCGGGGCGTTCCGTTCCGCGGGGCTGCAGCGGCGGGGGGGGGCCTCTGCAGGACGCTAACGTGCCGTGCCGAGCTAGCCTCCTAGCTCCCACGCAGCAAAACCAAGACCCGTTTGAAGTTGCAGGACGTACACTTACCCTGTGTAGTTAAATGATATTTCTGCAGATGCTCTTCTATTTCCACATTTTAAGTAGGCCTTAGAACGACTGGGTTGTAGTCACCAAGTAGCGGGTTAACGTGCCGTGCCGAGCTAGCCTCCTAGCTCCCACGCAGCAAAACCAAGACCCGTTTGAAGTTGCAGGACGTACACTTACCCTGTGTAGTTAAATGATATTTCTGCAGATGCTCTTCTATTTCCACATTTTAAGTAGGCCTTAGAACGACTGGGTTGTAGTCACCAAGTAGCGGGTCTTTGAAAATTCTTCACGACTTTCCTTTTTTCAGACAATGGGTCTCTCTGATACTTGGTCAAATCCTTCTGAAAGTCTGTCTAGACTGGAGCGTAACTTGCTCCTACGCCTTCGCTGCCAACTCCAGCCGACCTTCTGTCCTGCTGTCCAGCGTTCCTGTGGTGCCTGAGCTGCACTACAGGGACCTGAGCTGGAGATGAGGGTTCGTGGCAGAGAGTCGTAGAATTCGCTGGTGGGTCCTGACAGCCGAGGATCCAGGAGGGAAAATGCGAAACGGTTAACCTGCAGAAGTGCACGCACCGTACGCGTGCCCCTCTAACGCGTAACGTAACGTGATGCCTACGAGAAACGAGTACACGGAGAAAGGAGTGGGAATGGTTATAAAGTGATGGATCATCTCCTTTATTTTAAATTGAAGGTTATAGTCAGTTGCATGTGGGCAGTAGCACCGAATACATTACACACAGTTTATTTCTTTTTGTGAGTGTGTGTGTGTAAGAACTGTAAAATCTGTAAAGTTGTGGTTTCTTTGTTGTTAATTGCTACATTTAACATGGCTTTCATCGGATGTTGGAAACAGCGAGCAAACTAATTTGGAGTAGAGCTGCTTGACTGGCTGCTCATTGAGGATTTTTATTTTCTCTAACCAGTTGTCATCTGCATGGCTCTTTGCATTTTGTTTGTTTGTTTTCTGTTTTGGTGGTTGGTTTGTTTTTTTTTTTTACTTGAGGTTATTTTGAGGTCTATATACTTTATACTACTTCCTTCTATTTCCATAGTTAATGTTATTGGAAAAGACACAATCCCCTCTCTAAATGTAAGTCTTAAAAAAAAAAAAATCTTTAAATCATCCAACTGTTTTAGGTTCCTGCCTACCATCTGATAGCTTGCATCTGCATCTTTTGAGAGAGGCAAAATGAGGAGCTATTGCTTAATCATTTAACACTGTTAATCTTGTTCGTACTTTGAGTGTTCTTCTAGTAGCTGAATAATGGAATGTAAAGCAATATCCAAAGATTAGTGGCAGAGTATTGCTGCACAAAGTTGGCTATCTTTGGCCGTCGTGAAGCTAGATAAGGGCTTAGGAAGTGCGGATGGTGAATCTGTGTTAATAATTGCACCCCTTTAGACATTTTACCAGTGTTAAAGGATTACCGTAAAATTTGTAGGCGTGGAAATAGTCCTTGGGGAAGGAAAACCCCAGTATGTTAGGCACAGTAACTTAAGCTGTACGGAACGTATCTGTGTGCATATTTAAAATGTGGTTTTGTGATATATCTTTCTGAACTACTTTTCACAGTAATAATGTTTTAATACTTTAAAACCACTTTAATACTTTACAATAATTGTGCAGTGACTTTCCTGGTACTTGCTCTGCTGTTCTTGTAGAGTCATACTTGGTGGTGGCTGCTGTGCTTAGAGAAAGTTCAGAAACAATGGCATCTGCTCAGTTGCCCTAGAATTGGATGGTTCTGTAAAAAAGAAAGTTTTTTCCTGAGCAAAGCTCAGGAAGGAGCAAAAGAGTGGGAACATTGTCAGGTGTAGTAGGGTGGCGGGGTGGTCATAAGGCAACTAAAATATTCTGCTATAATTGGAAAAAAAAAAACAAAACCCCAGCGTTGCTGGCTCAGTCACCCCAGTGCGGCTGTGTTGGTGCTAGATGTCAGAAGAGCACCCGACGCGTGTTGCCAGGTTTTCTTCGGTGGCTCTTCTGTAACGGTGATCGTCCAACACGGGGGTTTTGGCATACTTCAGCAGAACCTATCTTTTTCTCCATAGATGTGACGCAGACCCCTCAGCCTTAGCCAACTATGTTGTGGCATTAGTCAAGAAAGACAAACCAGAGAAAGAGCTGAAAGCTTTCTGTGCTGATCAGCTGGATGTCTTTCTGCAAAAAGGTACTGTGCTCTCCACTACTTTATCTGTTCGGTGGTTTTCATTTCACTGGAGGGGAGGAGGGAAGAAGGATGATGCACCATTTTTGCCTTCAAAATACTTCCTGTTATCCGTGAATTGAATATTTCTTACAGAGCGTGAAGGAATAAAGATCTTGTGATTAAAATAAAGGAAAAAATCTGAAGGTGAAGTCATGTAGCTTCGTCTTGTTCATGGTGGGTGGGAGGAAATCCTCTGAAATAAAAGCGAGCAATTTCATTTTAAAGTATCAGTCATGCTGCCAGAAGTTTCTCTGACAGATGTTTAATAACTTTTGAAAACCTGGTCCATATTAATCTTTCAGGCTTCTGGTGAGCTCTCATAGCAGTTTGGTTCAAATTCAAGGTTTTAAACACTTGAAATTCTGACACTCGCTGGGGAAGTTACTGTGCATTTTTTTGTGATCTGATGTTAAACTGATGATCAGTCTTCTGTGAATGATTTGCTCTCATAAAAATTGCCGTAAAGAGGCTGCTAGCTGTAGCTAATGGAATAACTGGACTTACTCCTTGATCATGTTTTGATTACGCTTGCCCCTTAGAACATTTCAAAGTTGTAAATGTGATTGAAGGAGGAGTCTCTGTTTCTGTCTTTGATACACCTGGTGAATTTCTTTGTCTAAATAAACAACCTCAAGTTCCACAAGTGTAATTCCAGCTCCCTGAGTGGAACTAATGTTCATTAATCTAAGATGATGATGATGCTGCTGTGAGCAGTCCACCTGGATGACTTTTTTCAGGGACTTTTCTGGTAAATCTAAGAGTGTCCTTAAATCAATATGTAACAATGTTTTCTTGTTTTCTGTATCCTCAGAAACTTCAGGTTTTGTAGATAAACTTTTTGAAAGTCTGTACACAAAGAGTTATCTTCCTTCTCCTGAACCCACGAAAGTAGAAGCGAAGCCTGCAGGTCAGGAAAAAGAAGAAGTCAAGGAGGAGGTAACATTATTTTTTTTGTGTACCTGCCTCTAATTTCCAAAATAGCAGTCCTGTACATTTGTGAGGTAAAATGTGAAAGAAAAATCCATGATTACTAATGATCTTTACGATCTCAGTGCATCTGAAGAAAAATGGAAGATGACCGTTCAGACAAGAACATTTTAAAATGTCTTTGTAGAGCCTACCTTTGGTCTAGGTTAATAGCGTTCAGAAATCCTATTCAGACGTCCCTGGCAACACAAGCTGATAATGTTTTGGAAGGGTTTAAGAGAGGGGGAAGAAGCAAAAACATTCCAAAACATTTCCTTTTCCAATTTTGTATATTCTGTCAGGAATATAAATTATTTTAAATGTTTTCTGTAATACGTAACATCAGTGAAATACGTGGCCTCTATATTGAGGGATAATTACTCTTAAAAGTGAGGTAGCGTTCATTTGCCAACAGTTCTTTCTTTTATTTTGTTGTTAAGTTTTATTGACAAAATTGAAAACAATCAAGTCTTTGAGAAAAGCGAAGTAATACTTCCATAGCTGTCTAAATCTCTTTGTATGTTGTATAATCCTCTGCTATCGCTTGTCTAAGATAGATGTTTTTTTTTTTTCCTAAGTTGATGATTTTCCAAGGGAAGAGACCTCTTCTCTGTGTTTGTAGCATCCTAATGTACCAGCTTTGAGAGAGAGTTGGGGAAAAAATTGCTATAGAAGTAAATGGTCTTTATTTCCGTATACTCTGATCACAGTTTGCCAAGATACATTAGGCTGAATATGTTTTAATTACTATAGCAAAGACACAAATAAAGTCAGAGAGTATATATGAAATTCCAGTCCTTTCCCCTCACTCCAGGGATGCTTATGTCATGTGGTGTTAAGAGCAAAAACTGTTGCTCTCTTTATAAATGTACCGCGGGGAGCGTTTTTTTCTGACAAGTACTCTAAATGGGTATTCAGATTTGTGCTTTTGTCTGTGAGCCTAAAATAACATGAAGAAAAGACCTTGCTGGAGTTACTTGTTCTGTCTTCAGAGTTAAAACTGGCTGATGGTCATGAAGGTGACAAATAATTGCAGATCAAAATCTGTCAAATAGTCAAAACAAAGCTGTATTATATTATATTACGGAATGCAGGTCCTTATTTGACAGCACGTGATTCATCAGTTGATTTAAATTAAAGTTGCTCTTCAGTTTTTTTTCTCCCCTTCTCTGATGTCCTTTTTTTATCTGAGGATGAGACCCAGAATTATGACAATTTATGGAAGTAGCTTTGGTGATGGAAATTCATAATTTGCAACCATACAAGATTTTCACTTTAATAGTTTTCTGATCAGTTCTCAAAGTACTGTCATAATTTATAAAAAAATGTTTTAGAACTGCCTTCAGTTGACTTAACCAGTGCTCTGGTGGGGGGAAAGGGGGAGGTTTCGGGAATTTGGGGGAGGGGGCAGGCATAAGGAAAAAGAAGATATCTAGGACAGCTTTATGGGACAACTTTACAGGATCAGGACATTAGTTATTTCAACATCAGTAAGGCCTTGATGATTTGTCAGATAGCGCAGTGTGTTGCGTGATTCCTGCAAATGTAGGACACAAAATAAAACAAGTGGAATCATAGCTAAGTCTAGTTGGAAGGGACCCCAGATACCATGCAATACAACGTGTGTTGAAAGCAGGGCCTTTCAGGTTAGGCTCTCCAGAGCCCTGTCAAGCCAAGTCTTGAATATTTCTACCAATTCTCCCCAGATAATCCTAAATAAGGATGCAGGAAGCCTTCCTTTTTGTTTTGCTTTAATTGGAAGAAACCTTTCAAAGATTATTGCATGTAAAGTTTTGCCACCAAAATTTACAGTAACTTCTAAGCAGTGTAAAATGGCAGCAAAAATACAAAATGGGCTCAAAGTGATTTACAGTAGTGGTATAGCTGACAGACTTCTCAAACTGCTTTTGTTGAGGCCAGCGAGAAATGTGACTAGTTCAACCATGTGAATGGTTTTTTTGCTTTAAAGCATTTATTTCAAAGTGTAAATTAGTGACGTATCTACGTGGAGAAGTAACTCTCCTTAGTTGTGTTCAGTTACGAGATTCAGAAAATACCTCATTTGTAGAATTGCTTGCTCTAACTAATGGGATAGGGAATGGATAGAGAACTTGCCTTTCATTAATCCCGTTTAAAAACAAAATATCAAAGTGGTTTTATTTTGGGGCATCTCCTCTGCAGAAAAACCTGAAAGATTTGAAACAAAAAGCTCAACACCCTCTAGCACTTGATTACTTGTAGTGCTTAAGTATTCTGTGCAAGTAATACTTAAATATTGTTTTTATACGGGATGCTAACTGTAACTTGAACTAAATTTTGGTCTTATTTTCTTCATTTTAAAAAAAAAATGATACTTATCCTTGATTGGTAGTTATCTCTTAAACAGAATTTTCAAGAGTCAGTTGAGGAAGAGCTTTTTTTTTGGAAAAAGAAGTATTCCAGTCCACAGAGAAGCCGTGCAGATTCCAGTGAACAAAGGTTAGTTTTGAACCAAAATGTTAATATATTCTTCTGTATTTGCTGGCAATCTTTAACTGTGGATTTTTACCTTGTAGGTAGTGATTTTTCAGAAAAATAGTGTTCTCCTCCCTACTTTTCTCTATCTGCAATGTATTATCTGATTACGTGCGTGAGAACCCTTCACTAGAAGTTGGTCTCCTGAAAAAATGACAGTGTTTTTCAAATGTTAATACCTAGGAATGTCATCAATTCCATTCTTTCCCTTGTTATATAAATGAAAAGCATTGTTGGGGGGGGGATCTTTAGGGGCTGGGCGGGTTGTTCACACAGTGTCGACGTCACTTTTAAAACGTGTTCTGTTTTGGTTGTCTAACTTTTTCACCTTTCCAATTCTTCTTAGTCCTCCCCTTGCTGGTTTCTACGAATTAAGTGATTCAACTTTGAGATTCTGTAATTTTCCGTGTAATTTGGGAAGTTCTGACTCGAATGTTTCGCTGTCCAGATTGGATGAGAAGGATGAACAGTATCTTAACTTGTTGCAAGCTTGTTTTTAATGTGGTTTCTCTTTTCATAAACAAGGTCTGCATATGTCTTTTCTAGAACCAGAGACAAAAAGAGAGATGATGGGAAATGGAGGGACTATGACAGATACTATGACAGGAGTGACTTGTACAGAGAGAAGTCTGGCTGGCGACGTGGCAGGAGTAAAAGTCGTAGTAAAAGCAGAGGGTTAAGTCGAAGTCGCAGCCGCAGTAGGGGGAGAAGCAAAGACCGTGATACAAACAGAAGTGTTGGTGAGTATGCAAGGTGCTGCTTTAGGAGAACATCTAATGTCAGTGATGTGTGGTGACTCCTACGTACTTTGTGGTCCAGGAGGCTGTAGATGTCCTTGAGCAGTGGGAGCAAATTTTGAGAGCTTTGTGTTCCTGAAATTATTAATTAAGATGCTGTTCTTCAGAGTAGAACAATTAAGGGGATTGTTTTCTTCTTTGCTAACCTCTTAATTTATCCACGGGTGTATACCAGTGGATATTGGTAGCTGATATTTTTGCGCTGTGTGTTGACAAAACTGTTGATTTATTTTTTTCTTTTCTCCCCCCCATCTACCTTCTTGCAAAATAGCCTTACCTTCTTTTTCACTTTGTTACTGTGTATTTTTTAGAGAAGGTTTCTTTGTAATCGAAGGTGGTTACCATGTGATCCATTATTCTTTTAGGGCTAATTCAGGTCTGTTGGAAAAATAAGAGGCACAGATTGCAACAGATTTCAACGCATGTTGAGACCACGTTAGGTGGGGGGGTAGGTTGTTTGCTTCAAGCTTCCCCCCCCCCCTCTTTCTACTTTAAAAGAGAAAGCTGTAATCCAGGGTGGAATAAGGAGTAGAGGAACTAATGTGCATTTTGCAAAGAAAACATTTAGATTTCTGAAGTTAAAACCCTGTTTGCATTATATTTGGTTCTTATTCCATTGGTAAGGACTAAGCTCCTTCAAGAACAGTTTAACATGCAGAATACTGAATATTTAAGGAAATGTTTATACTGTTGTGTATTATCTTTCTCTCAAGGTGCTGATATACAGAACAAAGCATGAAGACTTTACCGAACTTTTTTTTTTCCCTTTTAACAGAGCACCGAGAGAGATCAAAATTCAAGAGTGAAAGAAATGATGTTGAAGTCTCGTATAATCCAGTTTCTGTGTCTCCCAGTAAATCTAGTGAACAGTATTCCTCTGCACAATCTATTCCCAGTGCTGTTACTGTAATTGCACCTGCGCACCATCTTGAAAACACAACAGAGAGCTGGTCAAATTACTACAACAATCATAGCAATCCCAGTTCATTTGGCAGAAACCCTCCTCCTAAAAGAAGATGTCGAGATTATGATGGTAAACTGTTTATTAGTTTTCAGTTTCATACCTTGTTTCAATTATTCTGGGACCTTTTTTTTATTAGGTATTCACTAAATGTAGGCAGCAAGTCAAAATGCAGTAGCATGTGGAGTATACCTTGTATGTAAAAGATGCATATATGACCTATATTTTTCTGGGGAAATAACTAGTCTTACTGGAAGCTGTTTACTTACAATCTGACAGTTGCTGGATAAGAACATACAGAGTTTGTTCACAATTCTGTATATGCTTGGCAAATATTTCAACCACTGGCAGTTCTGATAAAGATTGCAGTGTATGTGTTTAATATAAAACAGGTGGTACTTCTGACTTTCTTTTTCCACAGCTTTTACGATGGATGCATGTATGTTTGTATGCTTTTATGGAATATTATTCTAATTTGAATTATTTTGAAACCTCATCTGATAATGTAATGTTGGATCAGTGATTGCATGTTTTCTTTAGTAAGAAATTCCAGCAAAAACTGAGATGCTACAAATTGCGGACAACTAATTTTTTTTTTTCCTAAAAAGATTATTAAATGTCCTGTTTTGCAGAGCGAGGATTTTGTGTACTTGGTGATCTTTGCCAGTTTGATCATGGAAATGATCCTTTAGTAGTAGATGAAGTTTCCTTGCCAAGTATGATTCCGTTTCCTCCACCACCTCCGGGACTTCCTCCTCCTCCTGGTATGCTTCTGCCCCCTTTGCCAGGTCCAGCTCGTAATATGAGGTTGCCAGTTCCACAAGCTCATCCACAGGCACCACCTCCTGTTGTGCTTCCCGTACCAAGTAAGTCAAAACATTGTTCTGCGTTTCTTTGTCACCAAGTTAAAATGATGGCTTTTTCTGGAAGATCTATGTGTATTCAAAGTAATGAGTTCAAGTTTCTTCGCTAGCCCTGTGCTATTCAAAATATTGCCAAAATAATTCTGAAAAATCAGCTTGCAAAATATGATGTTCTTAGCACTCAAAATTAAATTAGATTAATTGGGCGGGGAAGTGGAGGGGGTTATCTTTCAGATAATCTCATAACCCTGGTGGTGTTTGGATTGATCACTGACAATTGGATTACTAGCTTTTTTTTTTCCCCTAATGCAAAAATGTTGAGATTTAATCTCCTAAAAGTTCTGATAAATTTCTGTTAACTGCTAGTAAAAAGCAATACATAATTGATACATCTAAGATCTATTTTAGCTCAACAGCAATCTCTGGGTTGTTTAGCCTTTTTTGTTATCTTACTGCATCTTATAATGTAAATTATATCAAGAAATAGAATATTAGATACGTGGTTACTCTGTTTCAGTACTCTCTATTCCAGTAACACCATACATGCTGTGATAGTTGTATCAAATAGCAGCAGCTATGGGATGAGAAATAATTTTATATAGGATTAACCCTAAATTTTGCATGAGCCTTTTAATGGGTGGAATTGGCTTGCTATTGAGTGAACTGACAGTGCTCTCTGATTGTAATTGTGTCTTCATAGGTTGTGTAGTGTAATTATTGTCCTTTTTTGGGCGTGTAGTAAGTAGGAATATATGTATCGTATATGGTGCAAACAAAGCAAAAATAGCTAGATAAATTCCTTGTCTGTGAATGCCTTCTGCCTGGTAGTTCTTGTTTTAGAATTGTAATCTAAATGTTGCTGATATGATCTCTTGCTCTGAGCAAGCCTTGATTCTCCATGGCAGAGCTGAGGGAGGAGCTGCTTTAGTTAATGCAAGCTCTAACGATAATAAACCTCTGGGGAAGAAAAGACACTTTTTTTTTTTTTTTTTTTTTTTGCTTACAGCTTTGTCATTTCTGGGAAGGAGAAAAGGTGTTGGAAACAGAGTAACTTACCTGAACAGGGCTTCTCAATTTACTTTTACTGTAGTGGGATTGTTTATATATTTATATATTTACATATATTTACAATCTTGACCTTGCTCAAAGCAAGGCATAAACAAATTGCATTGAATTGTTTGTATATTTTATCTGTGGAGTTATAAGTCTTAGTGATCTATTCTGTGGTGTCATTGTAGGACCACCTTTAACACAGTCAAGTTTGATAAATAATCGTGACCAGCCTGGGACAAGCGCAGTGCCCAGTCTTGCACCTGTAGGAGCAAGACTACCTCCTCCTTTACCCCAGAACCTACTGTATACAGTATCAGAACGTAAGCAAATACCTTTTTTTTAAAATCTGCTTGAGAACAAATTTTAAAATTCCTCTGTTGATGTGTGATTAGAAATTGTTACCTCTGTCTTCCTCCAGTACATACAAATCTAAAAAGAAGTCTGATGGCTTTCCATGTGGTCAGTCCATCATCTGCTGTTACTGTGTGAAATAGCAGTAGTGTTCTGTCACTGAGGAAAGATCATTTGTGGGGAGCTTTGTTTGGGTTTCATATGCTCAAAGCAATAAGATTGTTGTATAAGAAAGGGATTCCTTCATCTTCAAGCTGTTTAGTAGAACATTAGCAAGCAAAAGATGGATCTGCAAACCTGTAATTACTGTTTAACTTGGTCTTTATTCCTATCTGGTTTTGGCTACTATAGATGAGAGAGGTGTTTTTTTTTTTTTTTTCCCCAGCTGTGTATCACAATAGTTTCTATAGTCTTCATATACATTAGTACTTTCTTTCTATCTTTTTTCCAGAATCGACTTAGTTCTACCTTTCTAACTGCAAAAAAAACAGATGGCTTCCAATGGATGTGTCCATCTTCCTTAACAGAGCTCAAATTTTTAATAAGTGGGGTTTTGTGATGGTAAATAGCAAAATACCTGGAGAGTCCTAGATTGCTCAATTTAAATCCGAAAAAGCTCATATTTCTTTGATAATGAAAGGAGTAATGGCATTTCCATGTTCTACATGAGCAAAATAAGATAATTAAATCTCAGTGTTTTATAATATTCCCATCTGGGTTTTTTTTTTTACATAAATATTCTGAATTTTATTCAGAGGAGGGCTCTAGTTCATGATCCATGTCATTTCCTTTGTGACTTCCGTGCTTTTCAGAACTTCAGTCACTCAAATATCCTGTTAGATAGTCTGTTCAATTATCTCCAAATGCTGTCAGGCATTTCGATGTTACCATCTGATTCTTTCAGCTTCAGAACTTCTAATGGGTGATTCTGTCTGTCTTAGCTCGCAGGGCATCACTGACTTAAGTTGCACTACATAATTCTGTTCTCCAGAACATCTGTGGAGATTCTCATGTCCTGTTCTTGGACTGTTATGGTAACAACTGCTGGTTGCCCTCTTGCCATCAATCGTGTGCCAAATTGTGGAGGAGGAACTTGTGGTTCAGCTCGTGCAAGGTTAATGAAAGCTCTTGGCAGAGTCTGAAACTAAACTGTAAAACATCAGTATTGAAATTCTGGGGCATCTGTTTTAAATTGTAAAGTCTTCATTGTTGCTGTGGAATAAGGAGCTGAAATTTAGAGTGCTTCAAGTCTGTCGAGTCCTCTTGTATAGGCATTCATTTCTGTTCCAGGATGTACTGTGTTTCTGTGGAGGCTTTTCATAGACTTTATTCATTCTAGTTCTCGTATAGCTTTTCCTTTTTATGGTTGGAAAAATGCATCATCCTTGATTTGGACCTTGGGCTGGCGGAACAATATGAGTCAATCCTGTCATCTTGTGTTCTCGTGGTTACCCCTTTTAATTAAAATAATCATTAGTACTTACTGGAGCTTGACAGCTGATCTGACTCTTACATAAATTAAGATAATTTAATAGGTAAGTATTGGTCAAATTACCTGATTTCAGCTTTCTTTGATTGGGATCATTTAAGTACGTTCTTCCCAAAAAAATCCTTGTCTGAAATAAACTAGACTGTTGGACAGCAAAGACTGATAATCTCTTTGCATCTTGGGCCCTACAGAATAAAAGCTCAAACTAAATCTTTTGTTACTCCCCTTGAGACACTGTCAGACGTTGTGAAGGCTGTCATACAGACACCTCATTCCTTTTTCAGGCAGCTCATCAGCAATGCTCGGTTATTGTGACCTATGCGCTTCTGACAAATAGTAACAATCAGATTAAAAAACAAAAGAGAACATGCCCAAATAGACTTGGGCGTTAAGGTCAGTTGAGGGTTTTAAATGGCTACACACATTGGCTGTAAGACCTCTTTTCTCTCTTCTCTTCATCCAAACCAACTTCTGATTCTTGGACATCCATGCATTTCCTTAAAGGAAAATTAACCCTGAGTCTTAAACTCATTTGAAAAATTCTTTCGTTTCTCTCCTTTTTTTATAGATACATATGAGCCAGATGGCTATAACCCTGAAGCTCCTAGTATTACCAGTGCTGGTAGATCTCAGTATCGACAGTTCTTTACAAGAGCACAAACGCAGCGTCCAAATCTAATTGGCCTAACATCTGGGGAGATGGATACAAATCCAAGAGGTAGGAAGGGTTTCTAGCCATTGCTGTTGCTATTTTTGTCCAAGACCGTCAACGCTTACTTTCCCCTTTTTTGGGCTGAAAGCGATAGTTTTTCTCACTGATCTAGTATTTCAGAGCAATTTTCAGACATCTCTACCTTTTTTTAAAATGCTAATATGACCATATTAAAGTCAAAGCAGCCTTTTTGATTAAAAATAACGACTTGCTTGGGAATGTTATGAGATTGGGGTTTTTTTTGTTGGTTGGTTGGGGTTTTATTCCTCTTTAGCCTATGAAGGTACTTTTTGGATGCTGGGTGCTTCTAGAAAGAAAAATGGTGCAGAAAGATGGCTTTAAGCAGTACAGTCTGAAGACTGCTTTTGATTTGCCAAGGGTATGTTTAGGACCAGGGGCACAGAGGTGATGATCTACACCACCACCTCAATGGTAGTGAAGAGGGGAACTATCGTGGCGTGTTTTTTGTTGATGGTCTGACCTTGTCGGCCAGATGTTCTCTCTAAAATGAACATTGCAGGTAGCGTTCTAATTCTCCTAGCCCGTGAAAATCCCAGTCTGCATTTAAGTAATTCTGAATCCTTAACTGGATGGATGTGGATGTAGTCTCTTAGCGGTGACGTGTACAAAGTATCTTTTAGGGGAGAGAACAAGTCGAGGCTCTTCAAAGAATTTTTTGTTCTGTTAGCATAACTTACTTTCTTTTTTCCTCCTGCTTTCCCCACCCTGATCCTTAAAAGAAAAGATGTTAAATTTCAGTGTTTACTGTTACACTTCAGTGTTTCTTATTCAGTAGATAAGAAAGATTTTTTTTTTCCCAGTATTTCCTTCCAGTGACTCATCCTATAAAGAATATGGTTAAATATTATTGCAGAAATTGCTGTTGCTGTTTTCATCTTAATGAACATCATAAAGGCAGGGTTGGGGCTTTATTGCTGGCCCTCAAATTCTCTCTAAGAACCCATTCCAGTTGTAAGGCATGGGTGAGTGTTCGGCGGTGGTGCTTCAGACCGCTTGTTTTACTGTCTGTCACACGTGTGAAAGGTTTACTCTAAAATCATCCTCCAAAGTAAGATTAAAATTATGCCTGAAAATGCCCAGTCTTTGTTCTCACCAGTGTAACCAGCAGAGCTCTGGCATCTATAAAAGCCATAGAAAATTGACTTCTAACTCAGACTTCTTTTTAGGAGTTGAATATTTGGCATACACAGGAGACTAACAGCAATAACATGATATTAAAAAGGTTTTAAATGAATACTTGGCAAACTGTGATCTAGTGCTTTAGCTTTTGGGTTGTAGAAGTTGCTTCAAACTTTAAATCTAATGTCTCCGAGAGTATAATTTCATGCCATAGTTGTGCTTAATTAACAGTTTGTTGCTGAAAACTGGACGGAGGGATGACAAAGGAATAGCAGTGGGAGGAGCGGGTTCTTGGTTGCTTTTTCACTGTCAAGGGTTAATACAGGGAAAGTTGGTTGTTTATTCAGCCCATGCCACATTGCAGAACTCTAACCTGAACTCTGGGAACCTAGCCTTGTTTCTTTTCCTCCTTTTTTTTTTTTTTTCCCTTTTTTCTTTTCCTGCAGAATCTGAATTTTCAGTACCTGAAAGATGGAGTTTTAGCTTTGTTTCTTCAAGCTAATACTAACCTTAAAGGTCAAAATCTCATCCCTGCTGGCTGGACTAAATGTTTGTTTTCCTCAAATTGTTTACTTAGGCTAGCAAGTGATCTCTGAAGTAACTTCATAAACAAAACTGACCAACTTGATAAAGTCTTCCTAATTTTTATGTTTTTAAAGTCCTATTTTACTGTTGAAGTGAAAGCTTTTCCCATGTCTCCATTGATGTATGGCGAATAACACAGGCCTTTTTCCTTTTCTCCAGCTGCCAATATTATCATCCAGACTGAACCTCCCATTCCCATTACAAATAATAGCAGCAATGTAACTAGAGTTGTCCTTGAACCAGACAGCAGGAAAAGATCTCCAAGTAGCATGGAATGTCCACCATTAAAGAAACCGTGGCTGGGAAAGTAAGAATTAATGACTGCAGTTGACTAATTGGAATGCACTTTATTGCTATCAATGCTGTGAATATTGCTGTTCACTAGTCCCTGTAATTTGAGCTGGCTGGGTCTGAAAATCTGTGTCCACATAATATGGAGACTAAATATTTGGTGGGTGGGAGGAGCTCTTTTTTGTTAATGTCTAGAGTGTATACTTCTTATGAGAAAAATAAAAGTTAAATGTGCGTTAACATTTGCTGCCTTACTTAAGTATATGTATGCCTACCTAAATTACTAACTTGTTCTCATTTTCTCTAGGCAAGCAAATAACAACCAGAATAAGCCAGGATTTTTGAAAAAGAATCAGTATACTAATACAAAGTTAGAAGTTCGAAAAATTCCGCCAGAATTGAACAATATTACACAGCTCAATGAACATTTCAGCAAATTTGGAACTATTGTAAACATTCAGGTAAAAAACAAAGTTCAGTTTTATGCCTGTATGCGGGTATTTTATTTTCCCTGAAGCCTTCTAGAATATTGTGGCTGAACTACATTCCTTGAGCAATCTTAATGGAGGCTAACTGGGAGAGTAGGTAATCAAATTCAAAGAAACCTTTTCTTGGTCTACTCTGTATTATCTTAATTCTGTATAAGTATGTTGGCTTCTGCCTTCATGAGGCCTTACTGAATTTGAAAGGCTTCCAGGTTTAACAGTATCTAAACCAACTCAGGTTTTTGAGCAACTTGTGTGTAAGTTTTGAAAGAGATCTTCTAACAATTTCTGTCTTGTATGATAGTCCTATAGTATTTCATAGTCAGGATTTTGACGAAGATGCTACAGGAGAGTCTTTATATGCACCAGTTTATTACCACTTTGCATCCTAGAACTGGCTCCCATTCAGTGGTGTTCCTTGCACTGTAAGAAGGGGAAAAGCACTATATAAGCAAAACACGGGTAGTTACATGGTTAAAATAGCATTTAATTTCTCTTTATTTTTCTAGACATAACAGTTGCCTCTTAAGTCCTCGGTTAGAGGTCTAAATAAAAGACAGATACCTGGGAAGCCTCTGTATTTCTTGAGTTGGTGATTTTATGTCTTGGCCCAAAAGATACTGTGGTGCTTTCTGTACCTCAATAATGAAATAATGCATTTAAAACATGCTATCTCAATCATTATACTAGAAAGTCCAAGATACATTTTTATTCCTGTGATTAATTTTTAGAGAAAAATAGTCTTATTCAAGACTTAGATAATGCTTCTTTGAGAATGAGGTGAACCTTCGCATTGTACGTCCTCGGACAGCAGTTGTCTTTCAGGAGGTTAGAATAAAGAGCTTTCGAGTCAGGGTCTCTTCAGTCATACCCCAGTGGCAGTTCACAGTGCTCTGAATACATGATGCTATTTGGTGGGGAGTCATTTTATTTTGTTTTACTGTATATAGGCTTTGCTGCAAGTACGTCTAATATTTGCCAAAAGGTACTTGGCTTTAATTACATAGAATGTTTTAGCTGTATTTTGAGCTGTTAATATCATTGGATATCCCACTCGTTATTGCAGATTATTTCTAGCTTGGTTTGCTACTGGTTGAGGTGTTTTCTTCCTTGAGAAATAATGCATTCGAATGAACTTTTGATTTAGGTCGCTTTCCAGAATGATCCCGAAGCTGCTCTAATTCAGTACTTAACTAACGACGAGGCTAGGAAGGCAATTTCCAGCACAGAGGCAGTTCTGAACAATCGGTTTATAAGGGTACTGTGGCACAGAGAAAGTGAACAGCAGCCCCCGTTGCTGCAGCAACAACAGCAGCAGACACCCACGCAGTCTCTTCACCACCAACTTCACCTTCAGCAGCAAGCCCTGACCACGACTCCAGCTGTAACAATGCATAGCAATCTGTCAAAGGTATTGTGCTATCATAAACTAGTGATTGAGCGGTGAAGGTTATCAGCGTTCCTAAATGACTACTACTTCAAAAAAGCAGAGTGTATAATATTCCATTTTTTAATATCTATTGATACACAGGTGATGAATAAACCACTGGCATCTGGTGCCTATGTCCTTAATAAAGTCCCAGTGAAACGTCGCCTTGGAGCAGCAGGTGGAAACCAGCCTGACTTAAGCCAGTCTGGGGCTGTGGTAGAGGATTCTCAGGTATGTTTATGAAGGCTGACCATCTTCATACTTTCAGTTAAAGCTTTGGCCTGTTAGCTAAGAAGGAACTAGCAAATAGAACTATGTGAATTGTTCCCAGTTGGTTCTGTTTCTTTTCACTAATGTTCCGTGCAACCATGGTCAGTCACTTCTTCCTAGTTTTGTTAGCTGTTTATATAAAATAGGGACAATGACTTCAGAAACAAAGTATCAGTATTTTAAGTAGCATAAAATATTTTTGGCAGTGCTTCACAGTAAACAAATTTGACAGCCTATATGTGGTGTCAGCTTTTTGTTGGCGAAGCTAATTGCTTTCCCAGTGATTTTTGAGCTTATGCTGTGCTTTAACAGTAGTGCTAGAAGATCATAGAATACTTCTGCAGAGTTCAAGCTGATATAGTTTAGTTTACACTGATAATCATAGTGCAGCATGTGTTCTTGGCCACAGAAAAGTGCTTTTAAGGAAGGAGGTGACTTTTGCTGCCTTATTTGATCAGAAAGTGTGATGTTAGACTATGACTGCGAAGCTGAATATAGTGCAGATGCAGAAGATCAGCTTCAGTGGTCTTCCTAGTGGGTATTAGGATACAGAGGGAGTTTTAGATGAAGAAGGAAAGAAAGTATCTTTTGCGGAAACCCTTTTAACAAGCATTTAAGCTGATTGCTTCCAAGCAAGTTGACTGTTAGACCGATGCCTTTATGCATGTGTTTTAATTGCCTTGGTCTTTTTGTCTCATTGCACAAATCTGGAAGTTTGTGTTGATGTTTCACAGAATACTTTCCTCTAAAATTCATTGATGGTATATCACATTCGTTTTAAGCTATTACATATTTTTGTGTGTGTGTGTTTACTGTTTCAGACGTTTCCTACTTCTACAAGCCACTCAAAAATGGTTTACAGTTCTTCAAACTTAAAGACATCTATGAAGCCTGGTGCAGGGTCTAAACCTCATGATATGCAAGAAGCCCTTAAAAAAAAACAGGTACTTTACTATTGGCTGACTGACAGTATAGCAATCAAAGTACTTTATAAAGAAAGGTTTGGTAGGCAACTTAAACCTCAAATATTGCTGTATAGCTTTCTACATCAGTGTAGTTTTTGTCATCGTTACCAGACTAACTTGCAAATGCACGTTGAGGTAAATCATGGGTAAGGGAGTATTCCTTTTGGGGTGTCTTACTTGACACACTTGGTTGTGTGTGGGTTTTCTGGGTTTTCTTGAGGCATTTCTTTGATTTTAATCTCTGCAGGCATGAGACACTTAAAATACAACATAGGATATGTTTCTTAAGAGGTGTCTGAAGGGGGCAAAAATTTAGTAGAGTACTTCACAGCAGGAAGTTAGCAACTTCTTATTGTTTTTTTCCGGATCAGATACACTTTATACTTGTACATTTTGCAGACTAGTAGTTTTCATTATGACCTTCATTTCTATAGCTTGAAGAAGAAAATATGGTATATATGAGTACATATAATGCCAGACTGCTTTTTACTGATTGAAAGAATTTTCTTCTTGTGTAGGAGGCAATGAAACTCCAACAAGACATGAGGAAAAAGAAGCAGGAGATGTTAGAAAAACAAATAGAATGCCAGAAGGTAGGCCTGGAATGTCTTCTAGTGAATACATTCTGTTTTGTAGATACCTGTCTGTTCAGTGTTGTTTTCCCTGGAATTTTATATTCCTGCTCTTTTATTAATACATAGATGTTGATATCCAAGCTGGAGAAAAATAAGGCCATGAAACCAGAAGAGAGAGCAGAAATAATGAAGACCTTAAAAGAACTAGCAGGAAAAATATCTCAGTTAAAGGATGAATTAAAAACTTCATCTACAACCTCTACACCATCAAAATTGAAGTCCAAGACAGAGGTATTTATTGCGCAAGACACTTGCCTGCCTGTCTTTTGTAACTGTTTCTAATATTACGTCCTAAAAATGCAGCAACGTTAGATCAAAAGATTTCCTAGCAGTATTTTGAACTTGAGAGTGATAACCACGGACAAGCAACCTATGGTTTTAAGGAACTCGGATGACCTAGTTTTGCATATAGCTCATTCGAGGCTGTTCCAATTCTGAAGCAGAGAATTCTGGGTCCCTCAAAAAATGGGTTGGGGGAGGGGCATGGAGGCAATTAAAACAAAATTAGTTTAGAGGAAAGTATGGATATTGTGTACTGATCTGTCTGTATCATTTACATAAATGTATTGCTGAAGAAGTGGAATAAAACATTAAAAGCACGCATTACAGTTCTGCTTTTCCCTTCCATTTTCTTTCTGCACCATTTTCTCTAAGGCACAAAAGGAACTTCTAGATGCAGAGCTGGATTTTCATAAGAGACTCTCTTCTGGAGAAGACACAACTGAATTGCGAAAAAAGCTAAATCAGTTACAAGTAGAGGTGAGTTTGTCTGGGTTGGTGCTTTTAATGTTTTTATGATATATAAATGTTTTAAATCCTTTCAAACTGAGAATGGCTTTGTACATTATTTGCCTCCTTTAACCAGGCTGCCCGTTTAGGCATTTTGCCTGTTGGTCGAGGAAAGACAGTGCCAGCCCAAGGAAGAGGACGAGGACGGGGTCGTGGTGGGAGAGGAAGGGGCATGTTGAATCATATGGTGGTAGATCATCGTCCCAAAGCACTAACAGTTGGAGGCTTCGTTGAAGAGGAAAAAGATGAATTGTTACAGCACTTCTCTGTAAGTATGAGGTCACATTAAGAAAGAAAAACCTGAAGAGGACAATTGTGGCCAAACTATAAATCTGAGATTAAGTAGGTAACCGATACCCTGAATGTGAGCTTACTTGCAAAGAGAGGCATGCTGAGAAATTTGTAAATAACTGTTTCTTTTCCAAATTCTTGAAGCTGCCAGTCTTTTTGTTTCTGTTAGTGCAAACAAATCAAAGACTTCGTCCTGAATTCATGGAACAGGCTATGGATAAGCAAACAGTTTCAAGAGTTATCAAGGGTGTAAATGTAATGTATTTTATAGTTGCTTTACAATAGCTGCCCAATGCATTCTTTTAATTGCAAAGCTAAATAGCTTACTCTTATTAACTCTGCATTAAAGTAGTTTAAAACAGTCGTTAGAAGGCTGAAAAATACCTATCAGCCTCTCTCTGTTTACAAATTATTTTTCAGATTAGCAATTCATACCATTTCTCTTGTTTCTCTCTAGCTCAAGAAGCAAAGCACTGTTCTGCTAAACAGGGCTTCAGTTTCAAAGTAGTTAAATTTGTTTACGAACTCATGGTAGAGCAAGTAGCTTGCTAGTTTGCAAGCTAAATTAATGGATGTGTTAGCATCGTAACTAAGTTAACGTAATAAAGGAAAAACTGATTTTACATTTTCCTCAGTTACTCTTTCCAGAAAGAAATGTTTTCATGTGCAAAGCCAGTAAACTTCTCAGAGAGACCATGTAATACTTCATAAATAGACCCAGCATGAAATCTAAGCTTGATCGAGTCAGTTTGGTATTTCTGGATGCTCTCTGCAGCGCGGGTGACTGGTATGGAAAACTAATTTTGTAGAATCCTACCCTTTAGAGCTGGATACAGAAAAGCAGTAGAGTTCTTGAGAACTGGTAATGTGAAAGCTTGTTTGTTTCTGGTTTGAGTTGGAACAGAGAACTTTACAGTTCTTCATACAGCGGGGTAAGCTTTGCTCCTTGGGGAACTGTTGCTCTCTGCTTTGGCCTCATTGCTTATCAAAAGTTCGAGGCCACTACTACTGCTTTGATTAGGTAAATTCAGTGAAAAATGTTGTGTGGTTTGATCAAAAAAACCAAGCTGCTTTATGGTATGATAACAGTGCCATGAACCCTGGCAAAAGTCCTAAGGGGACCAAAGTGCCTTTTTTAAACAGATCTTTGCTTTAATTCTATTTCTGAGAGACTTCACGTTTTTGAAAGTTTTAGCCATCCTTAGCTGCTAAAACCAGTAAAAGTTTTTACAAACAACTAGTGCTGTTACTCAAGCTATTATCTTACTGGCTTTTAAATTACTTTTCTTCTGCTATTCGTATTAAATCTGAAGTTGACTAGAGTTTTCTTTTGTGCTGCTTGTACTCCATGCATAAATCCTTTTTTTGCTTGTTTTGAGGTTTTTTCACTCCTTAACTATCATTGCTGTGGTCCTTCCAATTTTAACCATTATGCAATATATAAATTCTAAAAATGCAAACTTCTTGTTAATCTAGCCATACTAGATTATATTTTTTCCTCCTCCCGGTAGCGTACTTACAGAATGTATTCAGGAGCTCTGTAGCAAAGTTTGATTCCTATTACTGAAATCTCTTTTGCAAATTAATGAGCTCTAAAGGACTTGTTTAACAGGTCTAAAGTAGTACAACAGTGAAGGGCAGAAGAGAATAAGGGAAACAGTGAATTCAAAGAATTCACTTCTGAGCTATAAATTAATACACTTTCCTCCTGCAAGATTAAGCTCCACTTACTAGAATAACAATAAATCTGAGCTTTTGCCCCAAAATACCGGTACAAATGCTGCATTATTGCTGGATGTTGCAGCTGAGATTTCTCTGGCTCTCACTTTTCTGTCCAAAAAATAGGGTTTCAGTGGCGCTTCAGTACACTGCAATTGTAGCACATGATAATCATCTTTTTGGAGGAGAATATTATTCCTGTTCCTGATTGGGTTTTTTTGGTTTGGTTTGGTTTTTTCCCCCTCTCATAGAAATTTGGAGATATTGAAGACCTTCAAGAAGAGGATTCCCCATTAAGTGTTGTTCTAACTTTTAAATCTCGCTCAGAAGCTGAGAATGTAAGTAGAATAATGGATATATTTTTTCACAATTCTAAAATAAGAATTTTTAACTTCTTGTGTCTGCCTTTGTATTTTAAAATGTAGCAGGCTTTGATCCTACTAGTTTGAGCTAGATAGTGTGGGTATTGGTTGCTACTGCATATAGTGTCACTAAAGGGGGAAGCACCTCCTGTTTACCTTAATAGTAACATAGGTCTTTTGCTGATAAAAGTTCAATGTCACGATCGATTCAGAGCTCTGTTAATCTTTTCAGATTGCTGGTAGATGAGCGTTGTGTAGCAGGTTCAGGTTTGAGTGAAGTTGCTCTCGGAAGACTGAAGTGGATGATTGTGGCTTATATGTTTGAGATCTTCAAATGTGCATGATGTTCACTGGGTCTAGCTCATTGCTGGCCATCTTAGAAATTCTTACTTGATCCTCTTTTTGAAAATATGTTCATTTAAAACACAATCTAGGCTGCTAACCAAGGATCCCGGTTCAAAGACCGAAGGCTACAGATATCGTGGTACAAACCTAAGGTACCTTCTGTGTCTACAGAAATCGAGGAAGAGGAGTCTAAGGAAGAGGTATGAAAATATGTTAATAACCTAATCACTCTTCTAAGAATCTAATAGCCAAGAGCTCTTTTAGGATACAGTTCTCTGTTTACTGAAGAAATTCCATAAAAGATGTTTTTGCAAACCAGAAACTTAACTGTTTTTGAATAGTCAGGTATGTTTTCCACATTTTAAAAAGGGAAAAGGAAAAAAAAAAATACACTTTCTGGATGGGGTGTTGATTTGTCAGCTATGAAACGCTATATGCAGGCTGCTGATCTCTTTACTTCGCAGTGTTAATGCTCCACTGTGGGATAAGTTACATATACTCTTTCCTGTAATTATGAATGCATTAAGCTTTTAAAGGTTTTTCTGTCTGGGCATTTAACAGAAAACTGTTGTTTCAGAGAGGGTGGGTGGTTGTTTATTCCTGCTTCCTTTGAAGTTTGGCTTTCTTTTCCTTTCTTGATGTGTGAAGCTACTGTTCTTTCCGTAAAACTTGTTGAATGTAATTGTGTGCGTTTCAGTGAGGCGTACAGTAAACAAGAACCTGATATAAAGTACAACTGATGCTGGGTTGCATGACATGTTTCCTAGGATACAGCATGGAACTTCTTTGTTTAAAAGTACATTTTTTTTTTTTTTTTCCTTCATCTAGGAGACTGAAACCTCAGATTTATTTTTGCACGAAGATGATGATGATGACGACGAAGATGAGGATGAATCCCGTTCTTGGAGAAGATGAAACTTGATGTTGGAAATGTATAATTTTAGGAATATAGTTCAAGCTACATCTTTTAAACATTTATTTAAGGAAGTTGATGAGCCAAAAAAAGCTTTACTTTCTTTTCAAACCACAAGATTTAAAGTGAGCAAAGTTTGTTATAAAAACATTTCGGATATAGAGCTGTGATACTAAACTAGCCAAAGGCCCAGTAACTTTTTACATAATTATCAAGCTCACCAGGGTGGTGATTTTTTTCTATTTAAGAAGGATAAAAAGAGAGAGGGGAAAAAAAAATTAGTATTTTCTTGTCCTCTTTTTGTGTCACCTGTATTACCTTGTTTTGGGTTTTTTATAATGTGATTGATTTGTTAGTTTATAATTGAAAAGATATTACAGGTTTTATTTAGCAATATTATGGGGTTAGGGGAAAGATGCAAACTTTCATTAAATGTTACGAAAGAAAAAATTGCCTCATTTGCTAATTGAAAAAGGGTAGCATTTTATTTCATATGGAATCACTTATTGTAGGAATTATTTGTGGCTAGGTTCATAAATCATTTATTTCAATATATTTGAAAGCCACACGGTTTCTATGTTCTACTGCTTTTTGTGAGAGGAGATGGAAGAAGCAATTTAACAGGGTATTATTATAATATTGTCCAGTTCACTCTGTTTCTTCAAATTCTGCTTCACAGAAAACATCAGCAATGACACATATTTGAGTGAATTTTCACTCACTGTTGATTTTTCTTCTGTAGTTTCAGTATAAGGTTCAAGTTTAAGTTAGACTGTTTGTTTACTGCATTTCAGTATTTGTGAGCATGAATGTAATGAGTTTCATACTTCCTCAAAAAGAAAAACAGCTAAACTGGCAACCGCCTACCAGCCAGTAGAAACTCTTCCTCCTCTCCCCGTTACCAACTGTTTGTTTGTGTTCAAACCAAATCCACGAAGCGTTCAGAGCGAAATGCTGCTCAGCCAACAGAATGTCAGTGTCCTGCTCAAAGGCTGGCGTTAACCCGGTGCTTTCAGTGGTAAGTCTTCAGAGGAGTGTTCAGAGCTGGTTTTGGAAGGTTATCAATTTATCTCCGAGTATAGTTTTGTTCAGACAAATACATTTAAGATGAACACCATTACATTCTCAGTTGCCTTATTGTTGTACCATTCTAAAAACACACACACACCCCGCAGAAATGGTGTGTATTGTGATGGAAATGAGGATAACAAGTTCAGATGCTTGAGCCATGTATCTTAACTGTTACACGGCTCTCGCGGTTCATGAACGTGTTATCTGGTAAGCATTTTCCTTGAGACTGTCCATTTGTACCGTACACTTTTCAGTACATTTTATGTACGTTTCTATACAAAATAAACAGAATGTCGGTGCAAAAATGCTCTCCTCTTTTGAATAATTAGTTTACCAGTATATTTCCCAGCAAGTTCTCGACTGAAGGAAAACATACATCAAAACCTTTAAATGACATGGCTCTGAACTTGGCTAGTGACGTGGAGTTGAGCATGCCTTTGGGTTAAGAGTTCCCCAACTTTATTGTCCTTTTGCCGTGGTGGTGTATCAAAAGTCAAAACAGTATGATTTTCTGTTTCCTTGTCAGTTGAAGGGAATATGTCTTTCAGTATTCTGTCTCTTCACACTGAAACCTCACCTCTTTATATAATTAGGACTTTCCTGCTAATGCTGAGGCTAAATTACAGACATGAAGAAACGAGGGGAAACCAATCCTACCTACTTAGAAGAATATCTTGCTTTTCTCCCATCATCTCTAATGTTTTTTTTAATGTCTGTGGCTCGGTCAGTGTATATTTTGAAAAATCCATTGCAGCAAACATATTTGAGTCCTGACAGTTTAAAAAATGATAGAGGGAACAAAAGGATTTATATATTTTTTTGTACAGAGTTTTTTCTTAAACTGTATAATTTTGTAAATATTTTGCTTTTTTGTGTACTAAAACTACCAGCGTATAGATTTCAATAAGAATTGTTGTATTTTTGTATTTGGAAAATGAAAATTACAGTGAATGAATGAAGCTGTAAGAAAAATTGCAGTAGCCTTTGACACACGTAGAATGGGATTCCTTTTCATATGGTTTTAGCTCTAAAGTGACACCTGACTGGCACACTGTCTTCAGGGACACTTGCCCTTGCCCAGACGTGCTGGCTGTTCAAGTTGGGCGCGATAGGAGGGAAACGAGTGCGGTAGCTTTATTTAATGATTTTTTTTTTTGAGAGCTTCATACGATTACTTTTTTTTCTCCCCCACCCCCCCCTTTACAGCACACATTGGCAGGCTTACATAAATCCTCAGGTGACATCCCAAACATGATTTCTAAACGCTGAGGCACAAAAGCGAGTTCTGCCTCTGAACTTAGCTTGTGTATGGAAGGCATGCTGTCATGTTATTGGGAATTGAGGCGATGGGCAGTATAGCGGTGTCTGACTTCTGGTGTTTAAGGCGGAGGAAAGCTGTTTGAAAGCGACCTTCATTTTGCCAAAGCTTATGGATCTCCCTGTATTTTAGGGTATGCTAGGCTATATTAAAATGTTTGGGGTTTTTTGGTTTGGTTTTGTTTGTTTCAATAGGTAACATGACAGTACAGCTTACTTTATGGCAACACTTGATTGTGAAATTCAGGTGGACTTTCAGAGAGTACGTTAGACAAGACTTGTAGTCAACAAGGTAACTTGTGTACACCAGCCAGTGCATTTACAGGCGATGTGTAATGAGATGTTACCGGTCTGGGGCATAAACATTGAAAGAGTACGTGGTAAGAAAAGTGACTGTTACGAGGAATTGTCTCCCTCTCATTGCTGAGTTAACCTAAGCAAAAAGAACAAAGCAAACTCAAGAGTTGAAAAGATGAATCTGAAAACAGTTGCCTGCTTATTGTGAAAACAACACTTTTTTTAACAAAATCATGTGAAAAGGAATAAAGTTCCTCTTGGTGTATAGTAAACTTGTACTATAGTTTTTACAAATTGTGAACTTGTGTAATAGTATAATAGGAGATATTGTTGAATTTCTAACTGTTTATACATTTAAATTCATATATGTAATGTTTGTTTTATTGATTACAATCTGAATTTCTAAGATGCATGTTGACTTTTTTGCAATAAAGATATACTATGGAATGGTTCAAGATTTAGAAAAGACAAAATTCTAACTTAAATAAATTGGATAGCAGAACCATTCAAAAAAAAATTACAACTATCACAAAAAGAGCGTTATCACTTTCTTTGGGGGGAGTATATGTGTGAAGGGGTATTTATTTGTATGGAATGTGTGTGCAAGTTTGTTTTACTTAATAGTCGATAGCTAGGAGAAAAACCTTCAGGTGTATCAGTGCTCTGAAATAGTACTAGTTAAGACAGCTGAATTGATTGGGGGGAGGATACAATGCGGGGTATTTATTTGTATGGAATGTGTGTGCGAGTTTGTTTTACTTAATAGTGGATAGCTAGGAGAAAAACCTTCAAGTGTATCAGTGCTCTGAAATAGTACTAATTAAGACAGCTGAATTGATGGGGGGGAGGATACAACGCGGGTGGGAGGGATTCCAGTAAAGGCTGTTCTACGTTTTGGGGAAGAGTCAAAGTTTTAACAGAAAATGAAAAATGTTTTATAGACGATAGTGGGTTCCGTGGTCTCTCTTACAGATTTGCGGTATTGCTGGGTTATTGAAAATAGCGTGTACAAAACATGGTATTATATACATGCAAATTCTAACCCCTTTGCCATTTGGTCTGAAAACTAATTTACTCTGTTGTTAACTTTATTCTTGGTCTTCGCTTCTTTCGCTAATTTCCGTTATTCCCTTCTCTTTCCTGTGTTCCTTTCATGAATGTAAATGTTTATTTGTGATCCCGGTTTTTTAAAAGCCTTTTCTCTTGCATTCCCTTTTCGTACCCGTATCGTTAGTGTGCTGTGATAAGATTTTTTTGAAAACAGACTGGAAATTTTACAAGGATGGGAATTTTTCCTTTTTCCTTTCTTCACTGCGCTCTTGTTTTGAGGAATAGGGGGAGGAGAGGAAGGGGCTCGCTAGTATGTTTAATAACTGTATTTGTGTCGCCATCTCCCCCGCATCCCTTTGCGGTCCTGCAGTGTAAATGTTTTAAAACATGAACTGGCTTTTCTGTGTTGATGAAGAGCCTCTTCGTGATAAACCTGTGGCTTTTGGACACTTCCTCTTTGCCAGTCATTGAACTTTAGAATCTTTCCGCAGTCCACTTTCCTGTCAATAACCGCCAAATAATCCTCATTCTGCAAGATGCAATAAAGTCCTTTGAGGAGGTGCAGTCTTGACGTTGAGTAGGAAATGTTTGGCATCCAGTTCAAAATACTTGTTTCTTCTTACATGATCAAAACTGATTTTAATGGCAAAAGGGAATAAAAAGAACTTGAAAGGGGGCTAGCATTTTTCTGTGTGTGTGTGGCTTTGGATTTATTCCCCCCCCAGCTGTTTCGAGTATCATCTAAATGTTCCCCTCCTAAAGAGGTACTGTGTCATGGGGTGCGACAGCTCTTCCTACAGCGATGGATCAGAATCTTGCTGAAAGCCGTTCTGAGGAAAGCACGATGTGTTAGGTAACTATTTTAACTGAACAAATACGTGAAGGTAAATCGCTGCTATAATTATTAGGCCAAGGATCTCCTTAGCAGCTACAGTCATAGCTGTATGAAATACAACAATAATTGTATAGAGAGAGCTTTCCCAATGGTGGAAATATAATTTTAACGTGTCCCTTGAAACGTGGGACCCAGTTCTGTCTTGTGGAGCGGGTTGTGTAACGTTTATCTGGGTCCCTCCTGAGGAGATCACTGACACGAGCGTGTGGCTGAAAATGGAAAAGCGAGTTTGACGTTTCTCTAAAGTTTTTTATGTGTACTTCCACTGCTTTTTTCCATGACGGATCTACAGTTGCGATGATCGAAATGTAAATGGATTAACTAGAGCTCTTTCTCGCTCTTTCTCCCCAGGATCGTTCCACAGACAATTTCCAGTTGCCGCTTGTTAATTTTCAGGTAGGTTGATCTGTGCTAGATCCTGGACGTGTGGAGCCAGATGTGGAGAACCGCTGCAAGGCCGGCAGCAAGGTGGGTGGGGTAAGGTCTTGTGGTGCTTGACGACCACTTGGTTACAGCTACTTCTGAAGAGGTGCTGGGAAGGGGTAAGGATGGTGCAAGTCACGAGAACAGTATCTGGTCTGGAAGGACAAAACAAGTCTTTAAAGGGCACTTGAGCTTCCACTGGGAGGGCCTTCTGCTCAGTTTTAGGAGATAAATGTAAGAATTGGTGAAAAGTGTAGGTTGGAGAAACCAATTTAACGTTTTACAGGCTACCCTGTAGAGGGCAGGAGGATGCAGGGGTCCCTCCCGAGTGGGGATCGCTGCACCTCCGCTCCTTGGGGTCCTTCCCGAGTGGGGATCGCTGCACCTCCGCTCCTTGGGGTCCCTCCCGAGTGGGGATCGCTGCACCTCTGTTCCTTGGGGTGTCGGCATTGCGTCAGCATCTCTCAAATCTTCTTGCCATTTGGACGCAGGTTTAATTGAAAGGTAAAAGCATCAGAACCTAATGGTTATCTAATTATTTTTTTTTATTTGAAATCTGCCTCTTTAGGCATCTGAATATTTTAAGTATCTGACCTGTATTACTTAAGTGAAGATTTTCACATCACTCAGTTCGAAGGCAGAATGCTGGGTGAGGTGACCAGAATATTGCCTTTTATCCCTTAAAACGCTGTCTGAGATTGATTTGCAGGTAGCACGCTGCATGCCACTCAGCTTCTCAACGCCTGCTTTATTTGAAGTGATGATGGTTTTGCTCCATGACAGGATGCAGTCCAGGATTTATTTTTAGTAAATCTGTGGGCATCTTGGGTTGACATTGGACGACTGGAGCTCAGCACTTCACGCTTTTTTCACCCACAAGCGGAGGGCCGGTACCATGTCCCCCAGGTAACTGCTCTAGACCGTTTATTTTCGGGAGGGCTCAGAGCAGCAGCAGCCCGGCAGACGAGGCATCCCCACGCGCCCTGGGCTGCTCCCTAGCTCTGTCGGTTTCTGCATGCAGACAAACACCGAGCTGCCTCTGGGGGGAACTGGTTGAAGCTTATTTCATGGGGAGAAGCAGCGGGTAGGTCGTATATACAGACAAAACATTTGGCAAATCAAAGTGTGGGATTATTTTCTCTGCAATAATAATTTTTCATCACGAGGGGTCGTAATGGGACACTTCAGAGGTGAGTGTGACATCTCCGTGGTCAGCAAGAACCGGGCTCTCTTCAGGTGTGCGGGGTACAGAAACGCCCTGGTGCGGGTGCCCTCGGCGCTGGGGTCAGCGCGGGCGCGCAGGCAGGTTCGGTGGCATCGCCGACCGCAGGCTGCTTCCTTCCCCTCTCGAGCCCGGCTGTCCCAGCCTCCCCTGTCCCTGTCGAAGGGTGGACTGCATCTCCAGGGAGGAAAAGACACGCAGAAAAGTTTATTGGAAACTATGTAGAACAGGATTTATGTTAATCTCCAGATAAATATATTTTAAAGCAATATCTTTTGTGACCCTAGCAATGTTCATCCTGGAAATCTAATGCATTTTACTGCGATTTGTCTGCTTATTTTATTTTCAGTTTGATCTTAAATGCGCTTTCACAATGGTAAACTCGGTTATGATGACACAGATTTTTATATACTGCTTCTGTACTTTTTCAATATTTCCTTCTTGCTGTCTTGCTTTTAACCCTAGTATAAATTGAAAGTTTATAAACTTATTCAGCTATGTTCTTGCAGCTTTCGTATGACCTGAAAGTTGTATAAATAGAAAAAGCTGATGTTGTGTGTTTTTAAACTTGTGATTGCATGAATATTGCAGGCACGAGGCAGGATCATTTTGGCACTCTACAAGGAATGATCGTTTCCTCCCTGGCCACATCTCAAAAGCGCCGTCCATTTACCATGCTTGGGTCCCTTGCCTGGGGACAGGTAGGTCTGTGTTTACGTCGGTTCAATACTCTTTGCCATAAGAGATATTGCACGTGGATACATGTGACACGCAGCGAGTTGCATGTTGGTGCTTGGCCTCGGGGGTGACGGTGAGGCCTGGCCCCGCCGTGCGGTGTAGGTCAGTGTTAAATGGTTTTAGTGTGCGATGCAGGCAGTGCTGAGGCAGACTTCTGCTGCTATTGCTCCTGCCTTGCATGTCCCACGTAAACAAACCGCGGGGTTTCACTATGAAATACGTCGACTGAAGGACAGAAACTGTTACGGTGAACGGCAAAGGTGCAGCGAGAGCAGCCTTTGCTCTGGAAAGGCGGCAGTTGTGCTCTGCTGAGAAAACCTGCCCTGGTTCACCTGCCACGGCCCCCGAAACCGCCGCTGCTCCCTGGGCGTTTGGCTCTGGTCCGGGCAGGCTGCGGCACGGGATGGGTCCAGCGTCCCACCCGCCCCGTCGGGCCGAGGGGACCTGTCCGTCGGGCCAAGGGGACCTGTCCGTCGTCCCCGCGGGCAGAGCAGTGCCTGCCCGTCCCGGAGAACCCGCCTGAGTGACTGCGGTCGGCAGCGCCCGTGCGGGAGCGGGGTGAGAAAGGGGGATCCTTTAGGGATGGTGTGTGAGTGCGGGGACGAGCCGGGTGTCCAAACCCCGGGAGCAAAGCGCAACCGGACCTGGGGGACCGAGGGATTTCCTCGGCCTTGTTCTGTTTCACCACAGCAGGGTGAAATGGCAGAATTGCTTACATCCCTAAGTTCCCTGCTTCACTCGGGTCTTCCCCCTTCTTCCCACAAAAGAAAAACGAGGTTTTTTGCTACTTCTTTATGGCATCTGGCAAATACACCTTCTGTCAGAAACAGCTTTTAGATTTGAACTTCAAAAAACACTTTATCTGGTCAATATACTGCAGCCCAAACGAAGGCTGTAACAGAGTTGGTGTCACCGCTTTCGGTGCATCCAGCTGTGGTGGAGGCAAGTGACCAAGGCCAGAGGGGAAACCTCCGGCAGGGGCGGCGCTGACCTGACCCCCCCAGCAGAGACAACGGCAGTGA